ATATTTAATTGTAGGATTAAATAGTTGAAAAAGTTTTAATGTAATTTAAGAATAATATATATGTATATTACCTATCTAATTGATAAATTACGAGTATAATGGCAAGACGTCGTTCCTATTATAATTGTTGCGAAGGATAATGAAAGGTAAATTTATTTCATTTTTTTGTTACATAGGTACCTACTTAAAGCGAAAAAATAATTAAGTAATAATTTAACTACAGAAGTAATACCTAAGTGCTTTATAACAAAACTTAGTTGAAATTTACTTCACTACCCAAGTACCAACTTACGTACCTAAACTCGTCTTTGTAATTAAAATATTTTAAATAATAATAGCACAAAATACTGAAATTAAAACTTTGTTTACAAGATTTTCAATTAAGTAGATTACGATCATATTTTTGTTACCAATCGTATTTCGGGTTTATTTTGTTGTTTACGCTATCTACCTATACGAACCACACATCACGATTCTCGAAGAATGGCCTTGCAAGTTGCATGCGTTGGGCATCACAGAACTCACATCGTAGACAATATGGTCGATTATAATCAGCATAGGTACTTTACCTAAGTAACTTACCATTTCACTATGTATTTTTTTACTCTATATTAACAGCCCTTAGCAACCACGGAAAGTCCGTTGTGACGTAGTAAGGAGAAAAGATGGAAAGTAATATCGACACTAGCACGCAGCGATAAAGTTTTATTTAGCTTGCATGTGCGATTTATCTGATTAATAATAACTATTTAGGCTATTAAAACGTCGGCAAGCAGTCAACATTAAAAGAGTGCAACTTCTGTACGTAGTACCATTATTTAATCTGTGGCGTTTTCAAGAACTTGAGTAAAATACTCATCTGAACGTGAGTTTTCAAAGAAATTTTTTGTATTTATAAGTAATTTAATGATGGAAACTAAATCAAAATCTTAACTTTACATTAATTTACTAACAGGGTTTATGCGATTCAACGTTTCGTACCAAGTTATAATAGAACATTAAAATTTAAAATGTTTAGTTTGGTTCAACAAACCCGAAGCTTCGTCTCGTGTGGAGGTATCCATATCTGTGTTTTGATAAACACTAAACAATGCATCGTAAACTTTTCCTATTTGATGTCTTAGTGGTTTTATTGTTTTGATTCGACTTTCCCATCTCGTGTCACTAAGTGGTTTTAGAGTAATACCTTTTACAAACTTTAAAAAAGTAGAAAAAAAAACATATATTTATTGCACAGTATTAAAAAAATTGTAGCTTGCAGTGAAGACTTTGCCATGTCGTTTACCACTAAGTTTAAAGAATGACTACTGCAAGGAACGTAAAATGCCCGTGGATTGATGTTTTTAATCCTGGCTTGGACGCCACTTTGAATACCTTTCATATTAGATTAGATTTCATTATCATACCCTTGCCCTTTTATGTTTTCTAAAGACAATCCAAGTGCTGATAATTGCTCCATGATAATTTCTGTTAGTGCCAGACCTGTAGATTTCTCTATTGGTATAAATCCTATAAAACTTTCATTTATCTGACGTTCTTGAATGGTCTTGGGATTTAATAATAGAAATATACCTAATTATCATGGTCATCTGCTCAGTTTTGCTAGCAACTGGAGTACAATCTGAAATAACAGGATAATATAATGATGTAGTGATAGCTTCCATAATATGTTTTTTTATGTCGTCTGACTTGGCCTGGCAACGTACAACGCACGCACCCTGAGGACTGACGAGAAGATCGTGGAGCTGGAAGAAGAGATAGACAAGTTACGCTGGCATATTATAGGATCATCCGAAGTCCGAAGAGAGGGGGAGGACACGGTAATCCTCGAATCCGGAAACTTGCTCTATCACCGGGAGGGCGACCATCTGTCCCAAGGAGGTGTCGGATTTATCGTCCGCAAGTCACTCGTTAACAACGTTGTAAAGATCGAGAGTGTGTCGACGAGGGTTGCGTACCTTATACTCAGAATCTCCAAACGGTATTCGCTGAAGGTCGTACAGGTTTACGCACCAACCTCGGTACATCCCGATGAGGAGGTGGAGGAAATGTATGAGGATATCTCTAGAGCCATGCATTCCTCCAAAACCCAATATACGGTGTTAATGGGAGACTTCAATGCAAAACTAGGCACATGAGAGAACGGTAAACTGAAAGTAGGGAAATTTGGAATACGGCAACAGAACCCAAGGGGCCAGCAGCTGTCCGACTTCACGGAGAAAGAGGGACCCTTTATGATGAACTCTTTCTTCCAGAAGCGGACCCACAGGAAGTGGACCTGGTCGAGCCCCGACGGTTCGACAAAAATGAGATTGACTTCATTATGACGACCAGACGACAACTGTTCAGTGATATCTCCGCGATCGCGAGGGTGAAAACAGGTAGCGATCACCGAATGGTTAGAGGCACACTGAACCTAAACGTTGGAGAGGTCTCGTCTAATGAAGTCAACGCTCCGTCCCCCTTGTGCTCTGTTCCAAAGTCCTGAAACCTTTCAGCTCGAGTTACAAAACCGTTTTCAGTGCCTAGAAAACTGCAATGAAGTGGACGATATCAATGACAAGCTCGTGGAAACTGTCCATGCGGTCGGAGCTAAGTTCTGCAAGACCCGCCGCAGAAGAACACAACAACTCTCCGATCACACTTTTAATCTCATGGCTGTTAGAGGGGAGATGAAGCAACATTCTTCAACAGATTTGACTGCATACAGGCAACTGAACAGACAGATCTCCAAATGCATGCAGCGGGACTTACGCAACTTCAATACAGCTTGTATTGAAGAAGCGATCGAGCGGAACCAAGGCCCCAAAGTCTTTGCCAAAGATCTATCTGCCAGAAAGAGCCAACTGTCAAAGCTGAGGACCAAGTGTGGCAGCATCATTTCCCGGGGCACCTGAGATTTTGAGTGAGATTAAGAGGTTCTATGGGCAGCTGTACACGTCATCGTTGGAGCCACACACAAGTGTGAGTTCGTTACTCACACTTGTGTGAGTAACGAAGTCCAAGAGCGAGTCTTATCCGACACCTTTCCGAAGATATCCCGGACGTCAGTCTGAGCGAGATTAGAATGGCTCTCCAGCATATTAAAAACGGCCCCAGGCGAGGTCGGAATTACACTGGAGCTTCTGAAAGCGGGTGGAAAACCGGTACTTGAAGTCCTTCAGAGGCTCTTTAATTCCGTCCTCCATGGTGGCATTACACCGGAGGCGTGGAGCAGAAGTGCGGTGGTCTTGTTCTTCAAGAAAGGTGACAACTCTCTCTTGAAGAACTACAGACCGATTTCCCTTCCAGCCTCCCAAACAAGCCGGTTTCCGAAAGGGCTTTAGCACCATAGACCACATACTTACCCTTCGTCAAGTTTTACAGAAGTCCGAGGGGTACAATTTGCCACTATGCCTGGCGTATGTGGACTATGAGAAGGCCTTTGATTCCATCGAAATTTGGGCGGTGCTGCAGTCCTTTCAGCGGTGCCAAGTTGACTGTCGGTATATCGAAGTGCTGAAGTGCTTGTACAGTAGGGCTACGATGAATATCCTAGTACAGAACCAGAGTACGAAACCTATCCAACTGCAGAGAGGTGTAAGACAGGGTGACGTTATATCCCCGAAACTCTTCACCGCTGCATTGGAAGATGTTTTCAAGCTTCTGGACTGGAAAGGACACGGTATCAACATCAATGGCGAGTACATCACTCACCTTCAATTTGCCAACGATATAGTCCTTATGGCAGAATCGCTGTAGGATCTAAGCACCATGCTCAATGACCTCAATAGTGTTTCCCGACGGATAGGTCTTAAGATGAACATGGACAAAACAAAGATCATGTTTAACGTCCATGTCACACCTATGCCGGTAGTTGTGTGGAGCACTAAGCTCGAAGTTGTTGATGAGTATGTTTACCTGGGACAAATAGTCCGACCAGGTAAGTCCAACTTCGAGCGAGAGGTCAATCGACGGATTCAACTCGGCTGGGCAGCGTTCGGGAAACTACGACACATCTTCTCGTCAGACATTCCTCAAAGCCTTAAAACGAAATTGTACAACCAGTGCGTGTTGTCAGTGATGACTTACGGATCTGAGACGTAGTCCTTCACTGCTGGCCGTATGAGGAAGCTCAAGGTCGCTTAGCGAGCTATGGATACGGCAATGGTCGACGTTTCCCTGCGTGATAGACTTAAAAACGAAGATATCCGCAGTAGAACCAGAATAACCGACATAACCCAAATAATTAGTATTCTGAAGTGGCAGTGGACATCTTATATATAAGACTTGATTTTTTGTAATAAATATATTTATTACAGTTAATTGGTAAAAATCAAATAAAATGTCATTAAATAGGGCATCCACGACTTTTCTGCCACCAGGGCGGCGCTACTTTGCAATGAGGGAAAATATTTGACAGATTTCCACAGATTACCTCCTAATAGATTCCGCATACAGGGCCACAAACGCGCGCAACACATACTTGCTGTAGCTAGCATATGAAGTGACGCTAAGAATCATGACATCAGTGTTGACCAAGTTTGCGACCCGTAGGCGCGTAAGAGTTCTTGACAATTTAAAAATAGTTTTGTATCAAAAATACATTACAAATGGCTTCCTGTGCAGTAAAATGGTGTGGCAAGTCAGCTAAGACATCCAGTTATCAAAAAGATGGCATGACATTTCATCGGTAAGCAATTTCTATTCTTATCACGTTAACCTATTTCAAATGCACCAGAGATCAACTTATACTGGCAATTAATAGTGCAAAGTGATAAAAATTGAGCACCCGTTGATGTCTTTTTGAAATGTCCCTTTCACTCATTACGCAAATTACAGTAGTTGTCTTTGTCTAACAACAGCACGTGTATCGATAGTGTTGTGATTTTTAAGTCGATATTTTATGTTTGGTCACTGTTTAATTATTTTTTTGAAGTCATATTATTTTATAAAAATAGTGGCATATCATTCTGGTACCTATATGTTATAGGTTTCCTAAATGTCCCGAAAGGAAAAAGATGTGGATCGACGCAACTTGTCGAGGGGACGGATGGTTTCCTACCAAAAATAGTGTGCTATGCTCAAGACACTTCACAGAAGACAATCTTCATATTATGAAAAAACGTAGAAGGCTGTTGGATTCCGCTATACCATCTCTATACTTGCCAGTTTTGGTATGGACTTTTACATTTTTTTAAAAAGATTAGTACCAATATAGATTATCCAATAAAAGCATTAAGTGGTTGAATGAAACATGATATTCTAATATTAAGGTGAATGTTACATGTCGAAATCAAACTATTTTTAAAGGATTTATAAATCATAAACATGTAAAAGTTATAATGTATTTATTGTTTTGACTTGGTATTCTTTTGTTACATGAACTTCAGTAATATCTTATTATTATTATAAAGTACATTTAAATTTAGAAGACGTGCCATATAGTGTATTAATTAATAATACTACTTCTAGGCACCCATCCCTACCATAGGTTCAAGTGCAGATATTGCAGCTAAAAATTCGGAAATTCCTGTGGCCGGCACATCCTTGAAAAAAACGGTATGATTATAAAAATAATTAATAATATGATTATAATTTGTATGAATGAATAATAAACGTATTATAAGTACCTAAATAATTATTGGTAATATTTTAAAAGAAACGAATACGTATTTCAGATTACTCGTTCTCCGCTGAAAGACGCAAAAAACCCGCCAACACCTAAGAATCAGAGCCATTGCTTAGAAACGCCTACAAAACAAAAAAGAAAATTTGCTCCTACACCTGATACGCCATCTGCATTTGATACTCCAGTTAAAAAACATCTTTGTAGAAGAATCATCGAATTAACTAATGTAATGAACAAAAAAGATAAAAAAATTAAAAAGTTAAGTGATTCCAACAGAAGACTAAAAAGAAAAATAGTTTCTTTGAAGTCATTATTGTTAGAATTAGAAAACAAAAATTTATTAACAGCCGAAAACAATGACGCATTAAGTTCCTTAGGGGTCAAATGTAGTGAAATTATTCGTCGTCAAATAGTGAAAGGAAAATCAGGTAAAATTGTTAGGAGAAAATATTCACCACAGTTGAGAGCTTTTGCACTCACCTTAAATTTTTATTCAACTAAAGCTTATAATTATGTACGCAAAACATTTAGTACTTGTTTATCCTCTGTAAAAACACTAGGAAAGTGGTACAGATCTATAGATGGCCGTCCAGGTTTCACGAAAGAAGCTTTTGATGCTCTGAAATTTAAGGCAACACAGACAAATCTGCCCATTCATTGCTGCATTGTTTTTGATGAAATGAAAATTGAGAGGAAAGTAGAAAAGACATATGGTTATGTAGATTACGGTGGAAGTGTGGATTCAGTGGAGGAATGCTTTGATGAAACTTTTATTGATTCCTTGCCGTTATCTCAGTTTTCCGAAAGCATAATAGAATATGTCGCTGGCGCTGTTGTACATTACTTAATAAAGAAAATCAAATGTAATAAGTGCGTTAAAGCTTTAATATCCCTGGATGAGAAAAAAAACAGTTTAATTTACGCAAGAGATGCAGGAGGACTACTGTTCCCGTCCAATATGGTCACTAAAATTTGCAGACGATCTGAACAAGTCATTCGAAGCTCAATCAATTCAAATCAAGGTTCTCAAATATATTACAAAGACAAATTCCGGTTTGTAACACAAACATTAACCAGTTTTGTTAATGAGGATATTTTTCCTGAAATAAAAAATCACCAATTCGATCACGAAAGTAGTAATCATGTCATTGACTTAGCTAAGAGTGTCATGGAAAAATACATAGACATAAGATTACTCTATTTATTCAGGAAGACAGATCCTAAGAATTCTGTGAGACAATTTTATACCAAGCTTATCCATTTTAAAAATCAGTGAAATATATGTCGGAGCGTCTACAAAATACCAGTTGAATCAAGTGAGCGAGCGGTTGCGTGGCTCTAGCGGAACGTCATATCGATGGCAGCGAGGTAGAATTAAGGGTATATCGAGAAACATATATATTTAAATAAACATAAAAAATGTTAGCTCGTTCAACACATTCAAGAAACAATTGTATGAATATCTTGTTGCAAATGACTGACTTAAATAATCGTGAATGCGTTGCGCGGGTGAAGTGTGTGTATTTTTGTTGAATTTAATTTGGTGAACGACTGTGAAATTTACTTTCAGCTATGTACTCATGTAAGTGACATGCATTTGTCTTAATGAGTAATAAATATCTTTAAACCTATTTATAAATTAAATGTACAAATATATGTATGCATTGTTTTATTATTAAATAAACATCAAATAAAAATTGATTAATATATTTATTTATCCATCATCAATAATCAATAAATCCCAAATTTATCGATCAACGTCCCAACCCTGTTCCATCACTACGGTTTGGTACATTCAAAGTTTGACCTTTAAATATCCAATCACAGCGCATTTGACACGTCCCCCGCAACCCCAATTTTGGTGAACTCGAAACAGAACAAATATTCAATGATGCGGTATCTATTAGGAGGTAATCTGTGCAGATTTCATAGCGGGGATGATAATTTCTTAGGAAAATGTAAACTTTAACGTTTCTTTCAATATCATTATTTATATTTTATATTAATTAGATTAGAAATGAAACCAAACTATAAATACAACTAAAAGTGGAAAAATATAAAAAAAGATTTATAAAGTGCAAAAAATTAAAAATCAAACCACTGACGCATTGTGCTGTGTATTGATATAATACTCTAGATAATGATAAACTATTATTTAAAACTAATTTCTCAATTAACTGACATTGTTTAACAAAAAACTTTAGCTCAGTCACAACTAGCGACATCTGGTGAGTGGAAGATTATTAGCTCTCATTAGATAAGTATGTTGGTGGTTTAAATTGACAACGACAGTAGTTTCTTTCGGGATTCTGTTGTGCGAAATCTTCTATTATATCTTCAAAGTCAATTTTTTCACTTTCCATACACATAATTGCCAAATTTGTTAGCCGTTCTTGTAACACAATTCGTCGTTCGTAATTCAATTTTTATTCTCTTTAGGTGTGAAAATGAGCGCTCTCCACTACAATTGGTAACCATTAAGCAAAGGAAGATTCTTGTAGCAACAAGAATGTTCCTTAGCTTTCCCTTGCCTTTCCAACTTCAACATTTGGAAAAATTTCTTCTAATTTATCAGACTTTATTAGTTTATGGAAGGCTGAGATACTCAAATCTGATGATTCCTTTGGTATGTTCTTCAAATACTGCCCTAAATGAAAATATTCTGATTTGAGCTATGCATTTGACATTACTTCGTGGTATTCTTCAAATTCATTGTTTTTTTGTCAACTCCTCAGAATCGATTGTTGTTAATTGACAAAGAAAACCAAAACGATTGTTAATTTCTTGGTATGCTGCTAAACGATTTTTTAAATGTGCATATAATGTATCGATTAAACTAGGTTACTCGATTAAAATAGGAATAAACGTATCTGCACGAAATTTTTCTTTGCCATTTACCTGTGCCGTGTAATGGCGGTTAAGAATATCCACTACCCCATATCTTCCCGTGGGTGTCATAAAAGGCGACAAAGGGAAACAGGCAGGAGATGGGCAGCAACATCTTCCTGGTAACGGCAAAAATACAATAAAAAACTGCGGTTGCCAACCCGCTTGCCAAGCGTGGCAACTATGGCAATATACCCCCATGATGAAAGTTACGAAGAGACAGCCCCCAGTCCCCGACGGCCCCGATATTCCTGGTTACGGTGGCGACCATGGTAACGGCGGGGCAGGGGGTGCTAAGAATCTCCGGTGGAGGTTCGGTTGCCACCTACGACGACTCGACCTGGCAACATACAACGCACGCACCCTGAGGACTGACGAGAAGATTGTGGAGCTGGAAGAAGAGATAGACAAGTTACGCTGGCATATTATGGGATTATCCGAAGTCCGAAAAGAGGGGGAGGACACGGTAATCCTCGAATCCGGCAACTTGCTCTATTACCGGGAGGGCGACCATCTGTCCCAAGGAGGTGCCGGATTTATCGTCCACAAGTCTCTCGTTAATAACGTTGTAAAGATTGAGAGTGTGTCGACGAGGGTTGCGTACCTTATACTCAGAATCACCAAACGGTATTCGCTGAAGGTCATACAGGTTTACGCACCAACCTCGGCACACCCCATCAGGTGGTGGAGGAAATGTATGAGGATATCTCTAGAGCCATGCATTCCTCCAAAACCCAATATACGGTGTTAATGGGAGACTTCAATGCAAAACTAGGCACAAGAGAGAACGGTGAGCTGAAAGTAGGGAAATTTGGAATAGGGCTACGGAACCCAAGGGGCCAGCAGCTGGCCGACTTCATGGAGAAAGAAAGACTCTTTATGATGAACTCTTTCTTCCAGAAGCGGCCCCACAGGAAGTGGACCTGGTCGAGCCCCGACGGTTCGACAAAAAATGAGATTGACTTCATTAAGACGACCAGACGACAACTGTTCAGTGATATCTCCGCGATCGCGAGGGTGAAAACCGGCAGCGATCACCGAATGGTTAGAGGCACACTGAACCTAAACGTTAAGTTGGAGAGGTCTCGTCTAATGAAGTAAACGCTCCGACCCCCTCGTGGTCTAATCTAAGGTCCCCAAATCTTTCAGCTCGAGTTACAAAACCGTTTTCAGTGCCTAGAAGACTGCAATGAAGTGGACGATTTGAATGACAAGCTCGTGGAAACTGTCCATGTGGTCGGAGCTAAGTTCTGCAAGATCCGCCGCAGAAGAACACAAAAACTCTCCGATCACACTCTTAATCTCATGGCTATTAGACGGGAGTTGAAGCTACATTCTTCAACAGATTTGACAGCATACAGGCAACTGAACAGACAGATCTCCAAATGCATGCGGCGGGACTTACGCAACTTCAATACAGCTCGTATTGAAGAAGCGATCGAGCGGAACCAAGGCTCCAAAGTCTTTGCCAGAGATCTGTCTGCCAGAAAGAGCCAACTGTCAAAGCTGAAGACCGAATGTAGCAGCATCGTTTCCGGGGCACCTGAGATTTTGAGTGAGATTGAGAGGTTCTATGGGCAGCTGTACACGTCATCGTTGGAGCCGCACGCAAGTGTGAGTAACGATCCAGGAGCGAGTCTTATCCGACATTATTCCGATGATATCCCGAACCTCAGTCTGAGCGAGATTAGAATGGCTCTCCAGCACCTTAAAAACGGCAAGGCCCCAGGCGAGGATGGAATTACAGCGGAGCTTCTGAAAGCGGGTGGAAAACCGGTACTTGAAGTCCTTCAGAAGCTCTTTAATTCCGTCCTCCATGGTGGCATTACACCGGAGGCGTGGAGCAGAAGTGCGGTGGTCTTGTTCTTCAAGAAAGGCGACAACGCTCTCTTGAAGAACTACAGACCGATTTCCCTTCTGAGCCGCGTCTACGTGCTGTTTTCGAGAGTCATTACGAATCGTCTCGCGCGCAGACTTGACGACTTCCAGCCTCCCGAACAAGCCGGTTTCCGAAAAGGCTTCAGCACCATAGACCACATACATACCCTTCGGCAAATTGTACAGAAGTCCGAGGAGTACAATTTGCCACTATGTCTGGCGTATGTGGACTATGAGAAAGCCTTTGATTCCGTCGAAATTTGGGCGGTGCTGCAGTCCCTTCAGCGATGCC